TTGACAAAAATGATATTATACACCTGGAAAAATAAACATGCAAGAGCTTGCTGTGAGGTTTTGCTGATGTTAGAACAGCTCTCCTTTAGAAAGCAATCAGAAAAGTTGGATAACATGCGGAAAAGCAGGTGTTCCAAAGGATTGACAAAGAACCATATCATCTAGGGCTTAAGGGTCAAGATACCAATAAAAACAAATTAAACTAAAGCATGTTGAAGATAAGAAATAATAAAAATAACAGAGAAATTAATGAGGAGAGGAAAGCAGAATACAGAAAAATCAACAAAGCCAAATTTGCTTCTTAGATGCACTCAGAAATCTAACAAGATTTATCAGGAAGAAAAGACATATTATCAGTATGAGGAGAGAAAGACATAACCACAGACTAAGATATTGAAGATATTACAAACAACCATATGCCAGTAAATATGAAAACTTAGATGTAACAGCAAACACAAAACATACAAAAATAAATAGAAAATCTAACTAATCCTATATCTATTAGAATCATTGTATCTGTAGTCAAACATCTTCCAACAAAGAAAACTCCAAGCCCAGAATTCTTTAGCTGTTTAAAGGAAGAGAACAAGAATCTGTTTTATCAAACTTTAGTAACTTTAATAATACAACCTGGTAAAGACTATGGAAGAAAGAAGCACTATAATACAGTCTTTTGTGATATAGACACAAAAATCCTAATATTAGCTAATTAATTCTAGTGATGTATAAAAAAGGATAAGCATCACAACCAAGTAGGGTTTATTGCAGGAATGCAAGAATGTTTCAGCATTTGAAAATCAATTAATATAATTAATTACATTAAAACAATGAAAGAAAAAAATACCATATGATCATCTTAATAGGTAAAGAAAAAGCATTTGATAAAAATAAACACATGCTTGGTTTTTTTGTTTTTCATGTTGTTTTCTTAAAATGTCTATTCCTAGTATACTAGGAATAGAAGGAACTCACTTAATCTGTTTAGGGAGTTTTTATGAATTTAGTAAAGAAATTTTTTCCTCTAAAACTGGAAATAAGACAAAGATGCCCCATCACCACTGTTATTCCATACTGCACTGGACGTGTGTTACCTAACAAGTATAATCAGGCAAGAATAAGAGATGCAAAATATATAATGAATAAAAAGGAAAAAAATCCTTATTTGAAAACATGATTATGAAAATCCAAAAGAATCTACCAATAAGCTACGAAAATTATTGAATAATTTTAATAAGGCCCCAAATACAAGATCAATAAAAAATTAATTGTATTGGTGTATAACAACAATCAATTAAAAAATGAACTTTGGAAAGGGTACCATTTACAATAATAACAAAAAAAACCAGCAAATATCAAGGAATCAATCTAACCAAAGTATGCACAATCTTTATATAGAAAATACTGAGAAAAATTAAAGAACACCAAAATCCTTATGAGGATATGTGATGTTCATGGATTCAAAGTTCAATATTGTAAAAATGTGCATTCTATCCAAATTTCTTTATAAATTTAATGCAATTCCAATTGCCAGTGAGTTATTTTTATGGAAAACGACAAGTTGATCCCTAATAAGTTCAAATGGCAATGTGAGGAGGCAAAGTGTTAATTAAAAAAAAAGAAAGGCAACAAAACTGGGTGTTGACAAGAATGTCAACAAGGATTGCTGATGGGAATGCAAATTGGAACCACCATCTTGGAAAACTGCTTGGCACTATGTCCTGACACTTCCACAGAAATGCAAACATGTATATATAGAAGCAAAATTCATCATAGCCACAACTGGAAACCACCCACATATCTATCAGTAGTATTATGAACAAATAAATGGTGACATTCATATAATTTTTAAAAATGAACTACTTCTGTACACAACAACATAAAGAATCTCACAAGCGTAATATTGAGTGAAAGATGGCAAACACAAAAGGGTATATATTGCCCGATTTCATTCTTATTTAACTGAAGGAAATTTTTTTTTTGTGATGTCATTTGTGATGACAGAAGTACTAGTAGTAGTGCATTGGGGTGTGGAAGTATAAGTGGGAAGGGGAACGAGAGTAATTCTGGGGTGCTGGTGGTATTTTCTTACATAATCTGAAATTGTAAACATATGATTTATATGCTTTTCTGAGCGATTAAACATTAAAAACATCGCATTTTTTTAACATGCAAAAATAATCAGGAAGATTCAGAAGAAGGTAGACTATGGGAACAGTCTAAATCTATGGAATATTACAAATGTATTATGGATCTACATCATTTACGAAAAGCGTGATATTGGTAGAGGAATGGGTAACAATAGAAACAAAGAGCCGGTCCAGAAATGGACCTAAATGGAAAATGGAACTTCTGTGCAATGTGTATATAAACAGTTACTTGTAATTTTGGTCTACTAGATTTCAATAAACTAAGTTACTACATCAGGTTAAAATCCTGAGTTTTCCAAAGGAAGCAAATCTCTAAACAAATATTTAATACCAAGGGTCTCCATGTAGACATATAAGACAAATTCCCATCACATCTCAACAACCAACAGAAAAAGAAAAAAAACTTTTTTTCCATTTAATGTAAGGAATAGATTGAAATTGGGGGTGGAAGTAGGAGCAGGGAGTGAGCAAGACTTTGCTTCTATATGAGAAAAGTCAAGAAGTTGACCACCCACTCTTTTTTTTTTTTTTTTATAACCCATTTTGAGTCAGAGAGATGTTTTGCCTTCTTTTGTTAAACTGGTACAGGACTGTGAAGGAATATATATCATTGTAAGCAATAGAAACCTCACCTTGAGCGAAAAAGTGATTTCTTTTTAATTCAATAGTCCAAGGTAGATTTTGCTTCAGGAGAAGCTGAATACAGATTAAGCAGTGTGGTCAGGACACAGCTTCGCTTTCAGACAGCTATTTCCCCTGTGATCACAAGATGGCTAGCAGCAGCTCCCTAGCCTGCATCCTACTGTCTCACACTGAAAACCTGGGGATCTTTGTCCCAGCATTTCCTGCCAGGTCTCGTTTGTATTTCTTTGGCTCTGAATGCACCACACCCATTTCTGAACCAAACATGTTGGCTAGAGAAATGCATTGATTTGAGTAGTTTAGTCCTAAATCATATATTCCATGGCTGAGCTATGGAGGTTTCAAATGTGAGCTGAGAGTGGGGAAGAAGGTGGACCCCAGAGGGAAATTAGGGTGTGACCACCAAGAAAAGGCTAAACGGAGCATAGATGGCAAAAGGTCCCCTCTATTGTACTTGGGATGGGGACAGGAGAAGAGGCTCTGTGAATTTAATCTGGCATGTGTTTATTAATGTTAAAAACTGTTTAGCTGCAATGGACTGAATGTTTGTGTCCCTCCCGTGACCAAATTCATGTTGAAGTCCTAACCAACAATGTGATGGTGTGGAGAGGTGGGGCTTTGGGGAGCTGATTAGGTCATGAGGGTGGAGCCTTTATGAATGGGCTTAGTGCCCTTAATAAGAAGAGACAGGAGAGGATATGAGGATACAGCAAGCAGGCTGCTGATTGCGAACGAGGAAGAGGGATCTTACCAAAACCTAATTGATTGATTGACACTTTGATCTTGGACTTCCCAGCTTCCAGACTGTGAGAAATAAATCTCTTTTGCTTTAGCCAGCCAGTCTATATAGTATTTTATTATGGCATGCTGAGCAGATTAAGGCAGTAGCCAAATCTCACTTTTCGAAAAAGTAAAGATTTGACGGGGTAGCAAAGTGTTCCCCATCCCCTATATTTTCTCCCATGTTTTCAAGTTTTCTGTGGTTATTTGGGTGACAGTGTTAAGATGAGCTGGTCTAGAATGTGAAACAAGTCCTCAGGATAATTGATGATTGCTGCCACTGCAGAAAGACCATCTTGTACCACAGGAGCTGTGTCTTTTTTAATCCTTTATTTCTATTACTGGCTCTAAATAATGTTTCTGACAGGATTCTGCTTTTCTTTCTGTCAACTGTCGGTAAGCAGGTATTGGGCATTATTTGTGAGGCTGTAAATACATTACATGAAAAAATAATGAGTCCTTAAAAAGTCAAGAGAAATGCCTCCAGAGACGTTTACCTAACACGGTGATTTATGTAGGTCTGAGAATGAAGTTTCAGAAACTTCCAAATGAAAATTCTGGAACATAAACTAAAGTCTCTTCCAAATGAGTGTTTGATGTAGCCCCTGGACACATTTCCCTTCTACTTCTAATCTGGAAGTTAGAGAACGTTTTTCATGTTCAACTTAAATTGTTTAGTTAATGATCTAAGAATAACTCTTGGGAGCATCCCCCTGCATAGCATGTTATTACTCCATTCCTCTGACTGAATTTGATGTATCTATTGTGTTCTCATTGCATAAACTGATCTCTGGGATTAATCATTTTCTTTTTACCAGCAAGAAATTGTAGACATTTAATGGATATACCTACATCAGTCAATTTAATGAGTCTCATTGTCTGGAGTTTGAAATATACTGATCATTCTAATGTTGAAATATAATTGACATTCATTCTTATTCCAAGTTTCCAAGTTTTCCAAGTTTGTCCCTCCTGCCTGCCTGAGAAAGGTAATTTAGCTTTTTTTTTTTTTTTTTAAGTTTTTAGGGCCTAGGAACTCAAGAGCATCTACTGAGTAATGCTAGAAGATGCTAAACAATCCTGGCATCCTCTCCTATGGTATACCTTAAGCAATCACATAGATTTGTATAACAAGGAATATTCTATCATCCAAGTAGGAATTGTTCTGTGGAGGATCATGCTGGCTAATATACCCAGGTGTATCTCTAGCAGCCTGGCAGCTGGAAAGGAAGATGGCTGCCGCATCTGTCACTGGGTGGACAGCCAGGGTTGTGTCGGAGAGCCTGACAGGGTAGTCAGCTGAGCACAAGGCCAAAGGGCGGCCTTCCCAGATAAAAGAGGACCATCCATTTACCAGAACAGTTACAAGATATTAGTTGGATTCCAACCTGAATAATCATTAATGGTTTTTGGTTTCTGTTTCGTTTTCAGTTGTTTGAATTTATGAACTTCTTGGCCGAGAATGTCATCTTCTGTTACATGGGCCTGGCACTGTTCACGTTCCAGAATCATATCTTTAATGCTCTTTTCATACTCGGAGCCTTTGTATCCTTTGAAATACAGAACATGGAGTGATGAGGGAAAAGAGTAAACTACTTACTTTTACTGATTATTCTGTTAAATTGTTAAAGTAATTTCCTCAAGTTTATTGCAAGGCTCAAATTCATGGCAGATATGTAATTTCTAGTAGGAGGGAAAAGATCCTAAGAAACTGGGACCTTTATTAAATGCTTCTGTCTCAAGATAAGAAATTTGGAACATACTGAAAGAAATAAAGGGAGAAAGCTGAAGGAGAATAGAATACTCAAAAAACGAATGTTCAAAATATATTTATTTCCTAAATATTCAAAGTATGTTTTCAAATTATGAATCATTTACATAAAAGTATCAGTCCGTTCTTTACAGAGAAATATACTTAATCTGCATTAGAGTGTATCAGAATATAGCCAGGATTATTAAGCTTTAGAAATATTTTCATCACAAGATGGTAAAATCTCTTTTCCAGTGAGGACTTTGAAAATAAAATACACAGAGTGAAGATCAGATGAAATTAGCATTATAGATGTGATTTTAATGTCTTATGTAAGTGTACATGTGAGTTTATTTTAATAAGGTCGCCCTTTCCTGCAAGTAAAATAACATAAAATCTAGACTTCCCATTTAATACAGAGGACTTTTGCAGCTCTAGGCCCCAGTAGGAATGGATGTCTATTTGAAAGGATACTGAGTTGCTAGGGATGTCCCCAAGAGCAATCAACAACTGTTGTCCTTTGGAAATGGGCAAATGCCCCTCAGATCACAGGCATGTGATCCTGACAGCCAAAACAGCTGACCCTTTTCTGTAAACCCTGCTCTAGCCAAGCACCACCATTTGCCTTCTGTCTTCTTTTCACTAAACATTCAGCTGGACACTCCAATTTCACCCAAAGACCTCTACATCTTAGAGGGAAGCTCCCTCTTCCCACATAACTCCACCCCCTTTGAGGACAACCTAGAACCTACAGACTCTCAGGGAAGGAGTCCTGGGTGACAGAAGAGGAGAGATGACTACCACCAGTATTTTTGTAGATTTTAACCCGTAAAGCTTGGACTTCAGCAAAATGCTTCCTAGAGAAACAATTGTATTATACATTTAGATAGGCAATTCCTGTCAAGATTAAATCCACTAAGAAAAAGAAAAAGTAAGTGAAGTTTGCTAGATACAGGGAGTAGAAACTGATGGAAAGTAAGATGGCAATCATGAGCAGAAGTACATTTATCCTTTCTAAAGTGCTGCTTGAGAAGATAATGCACCAACCCCTGAATGGTCTCTGCCTCAAATTTTACAGCAGAGTTGAGCAAAGAGTCAGTCATCAGTAACATAAATGTGATGAGAAAATTTACAGTGATTGAAATGGTTTGGGGTTAACAATTCTAAACCAAGTAGATATTGAAAGAAAAGCAGAGTTCTCTATTATTTTTGGAAAGGAATTGACATTTAAAGATGAATGTTGGAAGCAAGTTGGACATACACATATTGACATATTTATCCCTGTTTTCTGGGTCATAAAATAGAGAAGCTTAAGAACATAACAGTTAAAGCTCAAGGACTCACAGCCTCATTGCAACAACATTTTCCTCAATGTTTCCCTGTGCTTATCTGTAGCTCGCAATTTTTGTTGCCAGAGCCTGCAACATATATCCCCTCTCCTTCCTCCTGAATCTGGGCCGGAAACAGAAGATCCCCTGGAATTTTCAGCACATGATGATGTTTTCAGGTATGTGAACTATGTTATGTGCTAGAGTTCCTGTTGTCTCACACTTTTCCTGAGGGTGCACATGGAAAGCCCCCTCAGGAGATGTAGAGACCTCTTGGTATTACCACCCCATTGTATCTACTAGTCTTCACCCCATCATACCTAGTGCCATGCCGATACTCTATAAGTTCTAAGCAACCGTGGGATTTCTCTTTCCAAGAGGAAAATTAAACAAAAGGGAATTTTGTTGGAAAATACAGTATCTGCCAGAAACTGGCTTTGAATAGGCATTTGACTTTCCCCTGACCTATTCCAGATCAATTTTCATATCAGGGAATCTGCACAGTCATTTCACAAGTTGTGTACTTGAAGGTAAATAGTATGCAAGTGGTGCCATCTTTGCCCAATGTTAAGACTTCTCCCTAGCATCCCTGCTCCTTCCCTACGCAAAGCTCCAGGAACTTTCCATAGTTAATATAGAAGTGAGTCGTATCTAAGTGTTCTCAATTATTAGTTGAGAAAACAAGTATTAATTGCACATTCCCCTAGTGTGCCAAGCACAGTTCTAAACACTGGTGGATATAACTGACAAGGTCTCTGCTCTCAAGAAGCTTATGTTCTAATTGTTTAAATCATACCTGAAGGTTCCTTCTTCCAAAAGAAAATAAACCAAATGAATTTTCTGGCCCTGAACTACTCTGGGAATCGTGATTACTTTCTGTTCAATCAATTTTCCTACCATCAGTCTTCCTTATTCAGAGACATTTTCCCTTACATGCCTTCTATGTAGGAGTATGCTTATATTACACTCAGGGGCAGTTCATGGGAATATATGTGAGAGTACGACAAATACTCTCAGAATGGAGTAAACAAAATTTGGGGTATACAGGGAGATATGGAAAAACTGAGGAAACTATCACTTATTGAATATCTACTATTTGCCACTCACTGTAGATCAATTCTATGAAGCAGATATTAAACCATTTTTTAGATGGAGAAACTCAGGCTTAGGATCTCAAAGAGGTTATATAACTTGGCCAAGGAAAAAAGCATTCCTGAACCCAGGTTTGTTTGTAAGACTCCACTTCAAACCCACCCAAGTGTCTCAAAATTCATATTTTCAGCAGAAGTACTAGGATTACAAGGCTTGTCTCACCTTCCATTCCAGTTTAACCTGTTCTACACAGTAAAAGGTTGGTAGTTCCCAGGTTGAGAATGAACTATTTAATCAAGGATGAAAAAAATGGAGATCCAGAGTTCAAAATTGCCCTTCTGTAGTCTTCTAACAGTGCTTCCCTCCATTTCCAGATAAGCTAGAATGAGACAAAGAGTCATAAAGAGGATAAGTTGAACTGGAAGGTGATCTTTGACTTAGAACAGCAATGAACTTTGGAAATGAGTTGACTTCTATTATGGGAAAACAAAAGACAAGTTTGATCACTCATAAATAGGAAGTCAGCACTGGGTTGCACTTTAGCAACTCATTTCTAGGAGCTGGAAGCACTTTCCTTCCTTCCCATCAAAACATCAATAGTTTTACTCTGGAGAATAAATATCTGGCTTATTTTTAAAATCTTAAGTATTATATTTTAAACAGTGCTTCATTTTACAAAGATCACTTTGAGAAAGGTGTGAGGTTTTGAATAGCCATGTTGGAATGTGAAGTGTCTGCCCAAAAGGCCAGCTGGCCTGATGGTTTTTCTGGGGTCTGGCATCTTCTATGTTTGCTTAGCTGTTGAATTAGAGCTGTGCTAAAAACTGAGGCCAGCAATATGGTACGTATGGCCAAAGGATGTGAGAAGGCCCAGAATTTGATGATATCTTTATGATATTCTGAAGGAGGGACTCAGCAAACTATGGCCTTTGAACCAAATATATAGCCCACACCAACTTTGTAAATAAAGTTGAAACACAGCTACACCCTTTCATTTACATTCCTCTTATCTGTTTTTGCATTACAAAGACAGAGTTGAGTTGTTTCAGTAGAAACCACATGGCCCAAAAAAACTGAAGTATTTACTATCTGGCCTTTGTTCTAAAGCATCTTCATCCTCTAGAAGGAAAACAATAACCTCATCACATTAAGGGAGTTGAAACTATTAGTTTAATTCAGGAGAATGCCAATCAGTTAATTCCCATCATCAAAAGACCATCATGCCAAATTTTCAGGACATCTACTATTATACATGATTATAGTCCAGAGAATGCCCCCCATTGCCTTCCACATTGAGCGTCCATGTCATCTGCCCAGCATCAGTCACTTACTGTTAGCAGTTCAGCAGCTTGACCTCAAGGGCTGCAGTCATGTTGGGCCACAGTGGGCTTCTTTCCATAGTTTTGCCTAGATTTTTGTTTTGTATGCTTTTCACATTGAAGTGAATCTGAACAAGAAAGAGATTGGGTTACTTCTTCTATTTTTAATGCCATTTTAATTACAAGTTAATAATATTGTTGATATTCTGTGGTATGGTGGAAAGAACATTGGATTTCCACTAAAAAGATATCTTCTTAGCTTTCAAACGAGGACATAGCAATGTTATGTGGTTGTATAATGGAATCATAGTTGCTCAACTCAAACTCTAACTTTTCTAAGACCTTTGATGAGCAATGTTTTGAGACCCAGATCCAGAGCAAGGTAGGACAGACATTATTAGTCTCTTTCTATAGATTGAAAAGAGAGAAGGAGCCAGAATGAGGGAGATGTGGAGAGTATGGGTATCTTACTCACAATCTTACAACCAATGAGAGATGAAAATGAGACTTGAACCCTAGCCTCTTGACTTTGAATTTAGGGCATCTTACCCACATAACACTACTTTGGATTTACCCTCAAGGTCATGAGAATAAAAGTTGAATCAAACCTGGCCCTTCCTAATATAGGCCAACCCCAATATATCTAACATATCTCTCATACAAACCTGATCCTCATCCATTTCACAACAAATCAAACATGTGGATGACACCCCTCCCACGTCAGTACAAGTTCTACACTGCACCCATTGACCCCCATCAGGATGTAGGAAGCATCAGGTGAAGCATCAGGTTCACCATGGGCAGTGCAGTATTTTTCTTCAAAAGAGAATGCTCCAAACTCAGTTTTGATATCTGCATGAATTTTGTCATGTTCTACTTCACTCAGGATCTAACATTTTAAATGTATTTGCCAGGAAATAAGAATTTAAAAGGTTACCTTAAGGTAACATAAGCCAGAGAGGAGGTAAAGAAGCAGATCATATAACATACTGTCTAGCATTTTCTGGGTGTATGATAGCAATACCTGTGGAAACCAGAAGAGAAAGCCAGTCCCTTTAAAGAATATTTGCCTTTGGGCACCTGGGTGGCTCAGTCAGTTAAGCATCTTATTCTTAATCTTAACTCATGTTTTGATTCAGGGTTGTGGGTTCAAGACCCACGTTGGGATCCACACTGCACATGGAGCCTACTTAAAAAAAATTTTTTTTAAGATTTTATTTATTTTTTCATGTGAGACACAGAGAGAGAGAGAAAGATTGAGAGAGAGAGAGAGGTAGAGACACAGGCAGAGGGAGAAGCAGGCTCCATGCAGGGAGCCTGATGTGGGACTCAATCCCGGGTCTCCAGGATCAGGCCCTGGGCTGAAGGCAGGCGCCAAACAACTGAGCCACCCAGGCTGCCCCCCAAAAAATTTTTTTAAAGAATATTTGTTTTAGAATATAGCCTAGTGTTCTTCACTGTGCCTAGAGTAGTTTTGGTTATCCAATGGACTTTCTTTACATAGCTCAAAACATTTTTCAGAGTCTTTTAGAGATGGTAAACAATGACCCTTTATCTAAAATGGGAGTATGTAGCTAGTCGGAGCCAACAGTACATTAAAAGGATTATTCACCACAACTAAGTGGGATTTATTCCTGGGCTGCAGGGGTGCTTCAGCATCCACAAATCAATCAACGTGATACACCATATTAATAAAAGAAAGGATAAGAACCATATGCTCTCTCAAATGATGTGGAAATGCATTTGACAGAATGCAGCATCTTTTCTTGATAAAAACCCTCCACAATATAGGGATAAAGGGAACATACCTCAATATTATAAAAGCCATATATGAAAGACCACAGTGAATATCATCCTCAATGGGGAAAAAACTGAGAGCTTTTCCTCTAAGGTCAGGAACACAGGAGTGTTCACTCTCACCACTGTTGTTCAACATAGTACTAGAAGACCTAGCTTCAGCAATCAGACAATAAAAAGAAGTAAAAGGCATCCAAATCACCAAAGAACAAATCAAACTTTTGCTCTTCGCAGTTGACAGATACTGTATGTAGAAAACCCAAAAGACTCCACCAAAAAATTGCTAGAACTGATAGAGGAATTCAGCAAAGTCACAAGATATAAAATCATGCACAGAAGTCTGTTGCATGTCTACACACTGAAGCAACAGAAAGAGAAATCAAGGAATCCTGTTTATAATTGAACCAAAAACCATAAGATACCTAGGAATAAACCTAATGGAAGAGGTAAAAGATCTGTACTCGGAAAACTATAGAATGCTTATGAAAGAAATTGAGGAAGACACAAAGAAATAGAAAAATATTCCATGCTCATAGATTGGAAGAACAAATATTGTTAAAGTATCTATGCTATCCAAAGCAATCTACACATTCAATGCAATCCCAATCAAAATACCACCAACATTTTTCACAGAGCTGAAACAAACAATTCTAAAATTTGTATGGAACCACAAAAGCCCTCAAATACCCAAAGCAATGTTGAAAAAGAAAACCAAAGCTGGAGGCATCACAGTTTCGGACTTCAAGCTATATTACAAAGCTGTAGTCATCAAGACAGCATGGTATTGGCACAAAAGCAGACACATAGGTCAATGGAACAGAATAGAAAACCCAGCAATGGGGATCCCTGGGTGGCACAGCGGTTTGGCACCTGCCTTTGGCCCAGGGCGTGATCCTGGAGACCCGGGATCGAATCCCACGTCGGGCTCCCTGCATGGAGCCTGCTTCTCCCTCTGCCTGTGTCTCTGCCTC